TATCCAAATCCGATAAGCCGTTTTAGCATTAAGGAGTAATAAACATACACCCATACAAATATCGTCTTCTTATACAGTATACTATCTAATATCTATATGCCATAGAAAAAGATAGTCGATATCTTTATTTATTTAAACTAATATTTTAAAAGAATACCTATTGTGTAAATAAAACTAGATGATTACTACATTGACCTAACCTAGTTGCAACAAATTGGGTGCTCTAACGAATCTAGGACGTAGTAAACTCAAGTAATAGGCGCGATTCCAGTTTGATTTAAAGTTATTTATTTAAATAAAACTATTTTTTCGCAATTTTTCGCGGACTTATTTTAAGTTTTGGTTCCCGACGTATCGAATGCTTTAGACTGCAATGGTGACAGGAGAGAAAAAGCGAAAAAATCCGAAAAGTTAGATTTATTTAGAATGTCAAATATTCGCGTAAATCTAAGAAAGTGTTACTTATTTATATAAAACAAATAAAAATACATAAGGCCGTACTGGAAATGCATAATTGGTATTTAGATATGTATGATATGTGACGATTTTTGGAATTCTTATTTGTTGTAATGAAACAATAAATTTACATTATTTCTATGGAGATGTATGGCTGGAGTTACATAGGCTACTTTTCTGATCTGAGTGCATCATGAGTTCCACTAGGAGTATTACAATACTAACGTTTTATTAATAACACCAAAGCTTGCCAATAACTACTAATAAAAAAAATCGGTTGACAACAATCGGTATACGAGACAAAGATCCTGAACAGTTTTATCTTTGTGTATTTATATGTGTATATAGATAATAGATATAGCAAAACGCTACGTGAGCTGGTCTCTCCCGTGACTATGTTTACTGTATAGCATTTGAAATATCGTGAAAAAGTTTAAAATAGAACCGTGTCAAAATCTAAAAAATTTTTTTTAGATTTTGACACAATTATGCGATTGCATAGGTATACAAATCATTTTTCTTGGGATATTACCTATATCTTAGCAAAAGTTTCATAACTTAAAATAAGAACTTGCCATATTCTTTATAGAAGTGACATTTCAAACGTGCTTTTATTTTTAAGCTCCTTAAGTAGGATTATTTTACCTTTATTATTATGCAATGTATGAGTGACTTACGCTTGCTTCACTCGGGCGCGTCCCTAAGTACGTATATATAGCGTAGCTACAGTTTATTAGATCATTTTAAGACGAATAATTCTGTAATACATTCTTTTTATATAACTTTATTGGTTTCCGCGGCGCTCACCAGTAAAATTCCCAGTCAACATGTTTTTTTCGACATCTTTAAAAATTATTGTCATCATTAATCCAATTTACAAAAAAATTTATGAATTATCATGAATCACTCCATATGAAAATCTGTTTTGTAGTTTTTGAGTTTTTTGCGTTCAGACAGACAGACATATGGGCGTCGGGGGGACTTTATTTTGTAATATGTGGTGATGTATGATTAATATAAAGGGCTTAAGCTTTTTGCGCAAGCTTTAACTTAATATTTTTATTCTATGCTAGAGGAAAAATTCACAGTTTCAATATCGTGGCGTGATTGAAAAGATCGAATCATGCAGCGATCCAATTTGATCGGCGAAATGTAATAATGCCGGTTTTTACGGGAGCTTTTTAGCTTTCTATATATTCTTGCTCGTATTTCATACTTTAAATTTGCTTAGCTATTTTTATACTAGGTATATGAAAGATCTTATTCTTATTTTATTAAGTTTGGTTAAAAAATTATATTATCGGACTACCAACTTACTCTCGATTCGGCCGGTTGCGTCCCTAAGTACGATTTTGTTCACAATTTCACGAGTTTAAATTTTTTGCGCGAACTCTGATTCTTTTAAAATAAAAGTAGCCTAAGTTACTCCTTATAATATCACTAATCTAGCAGCGAAAGTCCTGTCAAATACGGTCAAGCCGTTTTGGAGAGTAATCGGAACAAACCGACAGACAGACAAATATTTTATAAATGGACTTTTTTTCTTATTAGTACCGTATATACTATATATACAAGTACATACATAGTATTTCATATGCATTTAGTAAAAAGCTGCTATTTTGTCATTACAAACAAACACTTCAATTTTATTTATCTGTATAAGTAGGATTTAGGACTGTGCTCATAATGGAGGTGGAAATAAAGATCAAAAGAGGTTTTCATTTTACTCTCTCGTACTTAGTCTCATTTTTATATAAGAATTGAGCTTAAGATTGTTTGGAAGTTGAATCTATTGTTTGGAAGTTGAATTTAAATTAATAAGCAAAATTAAAATATACATATCATTATTATACTTGGAATTAGAATGTTATACCATTTCTTTATAACCGTTCAAGTTTTTTCTTGCTTTTGATTCAGTACATTTCCAATGTAATATAAGAGCAATTATTGGAGTAAATTTTGTCTGCCTGTTTGCTTATTCGTCTGGGCAATAATCTCCAAATTATTGTTTGGAACATGAATGATTCTATTTTTAGAGATGAAGGTGGTATTAGCTATCAGAATTATAATGTAGAAAAAATCGGTAATATATGGCTTACTAAGCAATTATGATAATTCAAAAATATCAAAATATTTTTTTTTAATTTAATATACTTAATAATTACAAAAACTTTTATATACCTATGCAATTTTTTCCAGTGCCTGTCTTTGTTACATTTTACGATGCTACGGCTCTGTAACGTATATTAATACTTTTTTTACAACATACATGCAAGCAAATTCGTAGAAAAAAACTAGTGATATATCATATTTATATTATAATGTAAACGACTGTACTTATATCGCCTGATTAGGTTAGATAAAATTCAGGTAACGTCAATGACATTTTTAAATATTTAGTATTGATTGTATGGGCTTCCTGTTCGATAAAATAATGTCCGATATAACACGATCGAAGTACATGCAATTTATAGAGTAATTTTAGAGTAATATTTTCAATAACCCCTTATTTTTGGCTTAAAAAAAGTTTTTCTTTATTAATTTTATATTAAACTAGTGAGTTATCCTTGCTTCGCTCAGGTGTCTCCTGTGTCAGGTCTAGGTACGTTTAATTTTTTTGAGCGGGACCCTAATTCTTTTTCTAAAATAAAATTAGCCTACTCCTTATAACATCAGCTATTTGCCGGTGAAATTCCCATCAAAATCAGTCCAATCGTTTTGTAGATTAGCCGGAACAGACAGACAAAAATTTAAGAAACGCGTTTTTCTCATAAGTATCGTATATAATTCCATATGCATTTAATAAAAAGCAGTTAATTTGATATTACAAACAGACACATCAATTTTATTTATTTGCATGGATAATTTACATATTTTATTATTATAATTTATTTCCTCTCATGTTTGAGGCACACTAACCCAGTATACGCTTACGATTTTTAACTAGTTTATCGTATCCAAACGGACTGACTGACGCATCAAGTAGTACTTTTCAAAAATTCAAACCACAATTCTTTGCAACTCCTAGTGCATTTTTACTATAGGTATCTTACCTAATATTAATCATCACCATCTCCTTGCCAATTTCCCAATCACTTGGGGTCGGCACAGTACATCTTCCGTACTGCTGATAGGATTTGGCAAAAGTTTTACGACCGGCCGCCTGCCTGACATCAACTCTCCTTGGGAATGCTATTGTTTATCGCGGAAAGTACTCAAGGTGCGATGCGACCAGCACGTCTAATTTAGATTTAGGAAAATTAAATTATCTAATGCCAGTGATTTTTTCACAACTTTCAGTGGCACTGTCAATTGCTTAAGGTTAGGCGTGGCTTAATATTGGAGAGTTCTTCAATGTACATCTTGTAATACGCATATCCATATTGTTTTCTTTTAAAACATTATATATATAGTAGACTGATTCAAAAAAACCGACTATTTTTTTTTTTTTTTTAATATTGAAAATATTGTCAGAAATGACGAAAAAAAAATCCTGTCAAATTTAGAGCTCTTAATATTAATATTAAGAGGTGCCGAGTGGAAAATTTCGATTTCCCATTTGATTAACGTGGGAAAATTTTTTTTTCTTACTTTGGAATTCTGTAGCTCTTTAACAAGTCATCGGATTGGTTGAGTCAGAACATATTCTCGTAGAGAATTGAACGCTCTACAAAAAAGGTCTCCTATGATTTTTTGATATATTTACTTTTTCAAAAGTTATTCAACCCTAAAGATAAATTGATTCAAAATTTTTACATAAATAAAAAAAGTAAGAAAAAAAATTTTCCCACGTTAATCAAATGGGAAATCGAAATTTTCCACTCGGCACCTCTTAATATTAATATTAAGAGCTCTAACTTTCACAGGATTTTTTTTTCGTCATTTCTGACAATATTTTCAATATTAAAAAAAAAAAAAGTCGGTTTTTTTGAATCAGTCTAATATATAGTATAACTCAAAGTTATCATGTAATTTTGTGATATATATTTAAAATAAATTTTGAACACACAATAAATTTTGTTGTCATTTTTTTGCTACTAGCTTTCGTCCGCAACTCCACTCAGAACTTTAGAAATAAAGAAAGACTTTAGAAATAGGCAGGTGTACCCTCGATCAAATCCTTTATTCGCCAATAAAAATTAGAACAATCAGTCTTTCCATAGATCAGCATGTACAAACAGACGCACAGACAGTTATGAGAACAAAACTGATAATAAATTGTTAATATTTGGTTAATCTCAATATAGGCCAGCTATTTTAGACTCATAGACAGACCACCTTGATTTTATTATTAGTATAGACAACGCATTTACTCAGCAGCACAACACATTCAATTATTCACTGATTAATTATTATTTAGCAACAATGTACAAATAGCTACAGATATACATAGATATGGCTGTACGTAGTAAGTAAAAAATCAAAGTAATCATTATAAGATAGTTGCTAAGCTCGTTATATACGTAATAACTGATAAACAAATCCTCAATTTCTTTTATTGGACTATTACAATATAGCAGTGCCAGTGGACGTCTCACAGTGTGATGTTGGCGAATATAAGCGGGACCTTAGTGCAGGTATGAAATTAGTTACATTATAAAACCTAGATTTTATTATTTTGATTGATAAATTATTAGGTCTAAGAAAGGTTTGGTAATTTTAGAATTTGTGCCTTTTTGGATTTTTTATATGATATTATTAGTCAGGATGTCTGAAAACGGAAATTTAAATCTGATCGAAATATTTATGGAATAAGTCTATACTGATAGTATTTAAATAGCTACTTTGATATTTTCAAACAATTCAATCGCATATATGCTACTGTTTAAAAGGTATTTTTGAAATAAAGACTTATGCTAAGCGAGGGTTTAGTAAGGGGGTAATTTTTAGAGGAATATACTTAATTTCCATAGGTTTTTTTTAATTTTTACCTAAAATATACCCATAATTAAATATAGTCATGCTCTGTTAAGTTCACGTAAACTATGTGTTATACTACGAGTTAAGTGAAATATAAACTGTATATAATTATATAGTTTATTTTGAATTTATTTAATTTATTAAGTTTATGAGTATAGTATACTCGGAAACGAGAGAACATCCATTCGTCAATATGTTGTTGGAATGGGTAATAAATATTAGTATTTTCTTTACTATATTCAGTTTTTTCGCAACACAAAATTTAAAATAGGCCAATCTACACACCAAAAAGCATCTACATCTAAAGAAACAAAAGATACGACCCTCAGTCAAAAAATGTGTCGAATAAAATGTCTATTAATACATACATATAATACATTATATGCATATAACATCTGTTATACTAAAATAATATAAATTTTTAATTATATAAAACAGGATTTATATGTATTATTGTAGATTCATTACTTTATTCTTTATGTTGCCATATTGATATAAAATACTTATTTGAGTTTTCTGACGTTGTCATCTTAAGGGGAAAAAGGGCGAGAGCAGCGTTGGAAATCTCAGGAATTACTTATCCGATTTGAAAAATTCTCTCTTTTGCATTAGATAGTCCGTTTGAGGAAGGCTATAGACTATATAATATCGTCCTGGAAAAATGTTCGGTTATGGGATAAATTAATTTTTGTCTAGAGCTGAACCCAAATCGAAGCGAGGGTGAGTCGCTAGTGTATAAATAAGCAAAGTCACATTTAGACACCATAGTTAAGATATATTTTATAAGATAAAGTTTTCTACAAACAAACTGAAACGAACTCGTTGTTCTTATTTTATTTAAAAAGAGCTTTAATTTTTTTTTGATTTTAAATACGATTAATAACTTAATAATATCTAATCTAGGATACTAGACGCATACGTAACGTTTTATCAGTAATGACTTTAATCTTAAAATTATCACGAATCATGAAATTTCTTAGTAACGAGTTGTTAAATTAAATTAATTTATATTAATTTATTTTTATTATTGTTACCAATTTTTTTCCTGACTCCTTTGTTTTTAAATAACCTTCGTTTAAGATTCCTTTGGGTTTCTTATAATATATTTTTTATTTATAAAACTAACGACTCACTCTCGCTTCGCTCGGTTTCGTTTCTAGGTGGTTCTTTAAATTGACATAACTTTTTCATTTAGAAACCAATTGAAGGAAAACAAATAGTGAAATTTACTACGATCCATTAGGAAACCCACCAAAATAGGTTAAGCCGTTTCTGCGATTAGCGCGCACAAACCCGCAGACAAACAGACAAAAACTCGAAATACGCAACATCTTGTACCTGGTGACGATGTCACGTATTTCGCGTTCATTATGTTTTTTTAATGAATAGGACAAGTTTCTCAAAAACCCCCCCCAACGTGCGTTCACCTTGTCGTGGTGGGGGGGGGGGTTCAGTAGTAGTAGTACGAAGCTAAGAAACGCACAGGGAGGTTGCCCACTTCGGTGGGCGGTGGCCATCTTCGGGGGGTCTCTTTAATGCTTATATTAGTGTGAACAATTCTCTTTTAGCAGAGTGTGCCTTGGAGCAACCCCAAGGTTGTGGTGGTCGTAGTTTTTTGGCAGACCTGCCGTCGGGGCTGAATCTATAGTCGTAGTTTTTGCGTAACAAGAAAACACAGTATTAAACCATCTATTTTAATCACAACAATTATACTATTACATTTTTCAACCTTAGCAAGTCCCACACGTCGTGCGTAAATGCATTTCCCACCGTTAAAAAAAAAAAAAAGAAAAAAGTTTCTCAAAAAGTGATCGACTTTAAACCTGAAATAGTTACTTTTTAAGTAATTTTTGAGGTAATAGTATATTTTTTTTTCTCTAACTCTGTACAAATAATATAATTTTATGTGAACACTTCAAACCTAATATCTTACCACTACCGTTTAGTGTCCTCACCGAGTCAGCGGCTATTGCCAAAGTGAAATATATTTTCCGTGCTGACGCCTGAAGAAATGTCATGAAGTAACGTATTTACCGCCATTCCTTTTTGTCAAAGTTGAAGAGAGCGCCTCACACTAGAGTTGCCATAGGAAAAAAAACACCATGGCGACAACATGTCTGTCTGTCTCGAAACGCATCACACGAGAAAACCACTGGACAGATTTTGATAAAATTTGACATGATTAACCGCTGGTTAACCGGGTCCACATTTAGGATACTTTTTATTGAGGGAAAATATCTCATCTCTATACTAACCTTAAAACGTAGGGACGAAGCCGAACGGAGCGAGGGTGAGTCACTAGTAACTTAAAAAATAATAACACTTGGTCATATAAAAATAATATCACTTTGTGTTTTAGATTAGAATGTTATTAATATCAAATTAAAATTGACTTGTATACTACATTAAACTGTATAACAAAAACAACAAAAACCCTGAAAATGTTTCTTGTATAACCTCACTTTAAGTTTTATTTTTGCTATATTATCAATAACCCATAACATCCTATAAAAAAACCTTAAAATCTAGAAAAGATAGACTTAATAGGATTATTAATTTCGTTATCCTAAAAGACGAGTGCAAATATATCAAATTAAAATGATCGAAACACGACACAACTACTTTTACATAACATACTCGTATTGTGTTCGGTAGATTTTCTTTTCCGCTTTCGTGGGGGTCAGTGCCTCGAGCGGTTCAAATGACTCACCCAAGAAACCGCTATATTTAAATCTTTTCCGCTATATGATAATGTTTTCATTAACTAGGGTATGCAAATTATGCATAACTAACATTAATTATTTACTTTTAATTTTTAATATTTATTATTTTGGACAAAAAGACGGAACCTCAAAGGACGTAAACATTAACGTACTCTTGACGATTGAGGATGACGAAGATTTTAAATTCAAATTATTTATTCAGCATTAAATTATAATATTTTTTTCTTAATATCCATGACACATGTCACATGTCTACCACCAGTTCGGAAAGAAAAAGATTCATACCTGACAAATCTGGAAAAAAGAAACTCAGCCGTCCTAAAATTATTTTCTTATCTTTTATTACAAGCAATAAATTCTACAACATTGAGCCTAGAGCTTAAATTATTAATATTCTTATTACTATAGCACACAAATGTTCTTTATTTTTTTTATTTAGTAATAAAATCTTTTTAATCATTTTTTGGGATACTGCTTTAAAAACGTATATATTTTCCATAAAAAAAAATACTAACTCTGTGTAAACGAGTCACAGGCATTACAAATTTGTGTTTGCTCCTCATATTGATGTTATGCATGTCCACACTTCTTGAGAATTTCATGAGTATTTTTACGAACTAACATAACATTTTCGTACAAATAACATTTTTATTTCTTTAAACTTATCTCTTAATAATACTCAAGGAACTAAACTATATGTACGTAAATTGCAGAAATAGCTCTATTCAGTAGGACAAAAATCGTTTCAATGGCGGCTGCATTTCCCCATAGAAAAATAGAACACAATACCATGGAAATAGCTTAAACATTTTTTATTGAATTACTATGTAAATTATAAATATAACGTAAATACGTAACGTCTTCGATCATTTGAAAAAGCAAAGAATTAATGTTATTTTTCACTTAGGGATGACTACTTTTTATCTTGGTAAATAAAGTACCTAGTTTACTATATTATAAAAAACAACTGAAATACTTTAAGTGAAATCTGGGTCTGTCATTAGTAAAATATGATAAGTGAACAAACACTCAATCAATTATAATTTAGATGACCGCATTTGTGTTCCGTGTCTGAGAAGTGCTCTCTACCAAAGCGAAGGTCACGGGTTCAATACCCCTTAGAGATTCGTATTGGTTGATCAAGTGTGAATATTTTTTTGTCATGGGTGAATGGCGGATAAAATTACTATATTTTCCGACTATGAAAATAAATAATAAAGAAGTAGGTACAACATATACATATGTATAAAGAACTAAAGTCAACATCTTACCTAATAACAAGAAAACACAGTATTGAATCACCTATTTTAATCACAATAATTATTATTCTATTATACTTTTCTACCTTAACAAGACCAAACATTTTCCTCTTTTAAAAATTAGCGACTAAAGTAAGTATTCTCTTTTAAAATTAGTAACAGAGGAAACAGTATGAGTCAAATATATCTATAAACAATCTTAATGCATTTCATTACAATTCTATGAATTTACATAAAGTATTGGAACAATGATGATCATGTTCTCCTGACCGATTCCGGCCACGGCGACCAATCTCATTGAGACTAGCCAACTGCGCAGGAGATATTATAGTGCACAAGTGTACGCGCAGACACAAGTGCACTCTCTATTCCTGTCCGTTTCATACTCCGGTGGGACGACTGCTCGACACGACCAGTGAGAGTTAAGGCGCAGGACCGACGCCGTGAACTTCCCAACTCCGGGCTCTTATTGAGGCTTACTATACAGAAAGACTCAATAACTAAACTTGGCCGGGGACTTGACCCCAGGACCTCCGGATGTGCAGCCGTATATGCTAGCCACTACACCACCGAGACAGTTGATTTTAGGTTAGAACAATAACTTTATTATATTTATATACATATATTTTCTAACTTGGTCCAAATAATATGATTCTATATAAAACACTTCAAACC